ATGGTTTCTGCTTCTCACTCATAAGATATAAACCTACATAATGATTGTTCTTTAATAGTATTTAAAGATATTTTTAAAACAAACTGTGTGGGAGTTTAACATAATAATGGTTTTGGTTTTTCAGAAAACACTTTTTGGAGAAGTGTATGACTGTTTAAATATTAAAATGACTCCTCATAAGAAACATGAGTGTGGTAAGTAATTTGTGAGAAAGGCTGTGATAAAAATATGCTCGACTTACGCAGTTGTCCCTTTAAAATTTATTTTTTCTTTTGGCATAACAGCTGGAAAGAGCAATCTTTTTTCCGTGGGCTAGGCTGTTGCTTGGATGACTGAAAACCATTTTCCCATGAGAGATGCATTTCCCATCTGGGTATTTTTCCCATCCTGTTTCCACTTCCTCTCCATACCTCTTCTCTGCCAGGAGTAGAGCATATTGATAACAAACTATAGGTTTCCACTGATACAACTCCGTACACACCGAATAGATTGTACAAAACACAGCAGTGCTCTGTGTGATGTACAGAAGATGTTTGTTCACCTCTTTCTTAATCCTTCTTCTAGGCTTGTGCAATGGGTTCCAGTTGCCATAGGGACTCATTTGTGAGATGAAGACACAAGTTCAGACTGGGTGCTCTGGTCAATTAGGAACTGGGTTGATCATCTCAGGAGGGAAAGCACAGATGCCTGTTAAGTCCCTGCAGGGAAGACATTTGGGAAGGGGAATACAGAGATGATAACAGCACAAGAAAAGTCTTCAGGTGAGTGGAGTCCCATTCCTTATCAGGGGAACTTGGCTTCGGTAAACACTCTATCCTCACCATTGCCATCGCAGTCACTGAGCCACTAAACCCGTGGCATTTGTCAGTGATAGCCAGGTAGGCTATCCAGCATAGGGATGAAAGCTAAGAGCCCAAACGGTGGGAAAGTTTTATTTTAATGAGATATAGACTTAAACACTGGACTGCAATTTCATCTGATGATGCTCAATCCACAGATGTTTCATAGAATCATATAATGCTTTGGAGTGGGAGGGACCTTAAAGATTATTCAGTTCAGCCCCCCTGCCATGGGCAGGAACACCACCCACTAGACCAGATTGCTCAAATTTCCAACCAACCTGGCCTTGAATAACGCCAGGGATGGGGCATCCACAGCTTCTCTGGCCAACCCGTGCTAGTGTCTCACCACCCTCACAGTGAAGATTATTTTCCTAATATCTGATCTAAATCTACCCTCTTTCAGTTTGAAGCCATTCCCCCTTGTCCTATCATTACATGCCCTTGTGAAAAGTCCCTTTCCAGTTTTTCTATCCCTGTTAGACTGTAAATTCTGTGGCAGTGAAGGACTATGCATTGTGTACCAAGGCTCAGTTAAGCCTAGGGCCAGTAATGTATGCAAATAATATTGGTAATAAACATGATTATTTCTGTACCTTCTCAAAATTTTCATGACTAATATCTTTATGAAACCTTTGGAAATATTACATAGATGGGGACTTTCTAAATCAGAGAGCAATTCAGTGGCTTGTCCATGGCCTTAACATCAGACTATGATCTCTTAATTTTGAAACAAGCCCTATAAAAATATTTTGGTGTGGTACATTTTTAGTTAATTTATTTGCCTTAGCCAAAATGTATAAGCTGTTGGACATTTCTCATTGGTTTATAACTACAGTATGACAGATGAAATATAAGCCTTCCATGGGAGTCTGGAATTGGTATGAAGCCTGTTTAATATATCAGAAAATTATATACGAAAGTTCTGACTTTTGCATCTGGGACTTTCATTCAGTGGATGTCTTGAGGTTTTTCTCTCCATAGGCTGTGGCCAGAGGCATTTGGGCTGACTCATCAGGAAAATCTGGTGCTTTGGGAGAATCCCCCTGAGAGAAAAAGGTGCTGCAAAGGTGAGATCAATATTTTAAGCAGTCCTGCCCTTTTGGAGGCAATTCTGTGAAGCATAGTAAGATTCATCCCTTTTAGTCTACGCTTTCATTCCTTCTAAGGCAAGAGAGAAACCACACATCATATCTTACAATGCAGACATGCTAATTTTGAAAGTGATTTTTCAGCCAACTGAACATGTCCCATGGATTCCACCTGGGAGCTGAATGTTTAAGGCTAACTTTGGAAAAATATTTTTCAGGTTACTGAGAGATGAATAGGCTTGTACAAATGCATATTTTAGTGGCCCTGCAACGCTCCCTCTCCTAACTGATATTAAAAAAAGAAATTTTCAGAGGAAAGGTTCTCACTTCCCAGCTGTGAGCACACAGCATGCAGTGGCAATGGAAGAGCCTGGGTGCATCAGCAAAAAGAAAGCAGTGGGCTAATTACATTGAAAGAAATCTGCACATTCAGCACACCTTAACCAGCTCTGTACAGAAAATTGACACAGAACAGTTCCTAAACCACCCAAAACACTAAGCTTGACTGCAATTACAAATCAGGTCCCGAATTCCAGGCCACTGCTCTAAAGAGCAGTAAATACTGACACAGAGTAGAAGTCAGTGTTGCAAGCCTTCCCACTGTGGACAGCTAAGACAGTGTAGCCAGTTTTTCAGATTTCATCAGGAATCACAACATCTTTGATACTGTTATTAACACCTATAGGTTTAAAAGAAAAAAAAAACACTAATTTTATTTTAGTAATATGAGCATTTTAGCTACCCTGTTTGCCAAGAACAGTTTGAAAAAAAAGAACCCTGAAAGGTTCAGTAGATTTACCATTTTATTAAAGAAACAAAACAAGATTTAAGATGGGCTTTAAAAAACCTCATGATTTCTACACAAGCTTCACATTCTTTTGGGAGCTCATTCTGGATTTTTATAGTTTGATATCTGGCAATAGTGGACATAAAATTCAAATGCAGTTCACTTCCTCAGCTAGGGGAGTGAGTGAGGTGCTGGATAAATTTGAATTTTAGGTTCCTTAGATGTGTACCTGATTCACATTTTATACTAATTCACACATTATATTTACAACTTATAATAAATACAAAGTATTTTAAAATGACCAAACTGCTACATTTCTACACATGAAAAGTAAATGTCTTCAGATACTGTAGCATATAGGATATTCTTCCAACCCAGATCAAAGTAAAAAAGCAAAACCAACTCTAATTCTGGAATCTGCTTTTTCAGGAGCACACTCAAAGTGTCATAGAATTGCACAGGATTTAGTTCTGCTATCGAGCTTTTTCAAACTAGAAAATTCCCAAAGTCTGCTCAATGTAATATTAGTACAGACAATAATTCAGATGAGTCTTTAACAAGTTTTTTCTTCAGTTATTATGTTACTTCAGCTTTTTGGCCTTCATAGCAGGGAATTATGAAAACATTTCTATTTTCTCACTGTAGGGAGGAGAGGTATATAAAATTAATACTCTTGTAGGCAACTGTGACTGAGGGTTGGGCAATCATTTGGAGCTGCATGGTGAATTCACGTCTTTGGAAAAATGCAATGTCTTCTAGATTTAAAACAGTGACATGGAAAAGGGCAGCTTAACTGGATGTATGCAAACAGGTCACAAAGACAGATGTTAGTTTCTGTGTTACAAGAATCAGAACTTCAATCCAAAATCATAAATCTGTATTGATTTGCCCTCCCAATCAGAAGTCACAAAGAATCTATTTATTTATCTTTAATATAAAATAGTTTGGTTAGAGGAAGTTTCTGTTACTTTAAAAGTACAGACCACATGATCTTTGATTTGTAAAAACTACCCCAGAATAGTTAATACGCATGCTGACTGAGGCTCTGGTTCACTTTATTTTTAAGAATAATAATTCCTTGTCAGCTTCAAATGAAAAATTGCCAAGTCTTACCATTTTCATGTGCAGAAAACACAACTCTAGAGGGCTTTTCTCTGGATTTCCCATCCTTTCATTTCTGACGTGTTTACATGAAGATATTTTTAGGACACAATATTTTCTTGGTTCAGTAGCAGCACAGTGCTTTGAATAACTTAACAATTCATTGGAACTTTACAGTATCTTAACCTGAGACAGCAGACTCCTAATTATAAACTAAGTACAAACTGCAGCCTTGTCAGAATAATTTTATTATCCTGATTGCATCAACTTCGACCCTTTATGAGACTGTGTTATTTGGGACATCAGGAGTCTAACAACTGAAAACATGCAGAAGACAGCTGCTTTCAGCTCAAAGAAGTCTCTAGATATATTTAGCAATTTAGCCTTCAAAGTAAGCTGTTTTGCTGGTACTATTGCAAGATGCATGATTTCTCAGTAGGCCCCACATGTTTGACTTAATCTGATAGAGTTCTTCATTTTGTTCTTAACCTACTTCCTTTCTGAGAGAAGTAAGGGAACTTTAGCAGCAGCCGTCAGTAGCAAATGAAGTGGGAGGAAGCAAAGAATAAAAAATAGGCTGGGATTTATAAAAAGAATGTAAGAATCTGTGATTATATAATGATGTATAGAAGATGCCAGCTACCAAAGAAAGCTATGACATCACTGTTAACTTAGTAAGCTCTGTACTTCTCACTTCTCTGACATAAAGGCAGTTTCTCAAGAAGTTTCAAACCCATAATCTTTAAGCTACAGGTCAAGATCCCAGATACTTAAAGCCCAAACAGAAGAAAGATATCCTGTTATCTGAGGGAAAGTCATCAATCCCAATTTAACTTTTATTAAGCTTCGGTGAATTAGAAAATGAAATGAAAATCCACTTAGAGGTTGATGTGAAACATCCCCTGGAATTTTTTTTTAAGAAAGAAAATAAACTGATGAAAAGTACATGAAATCAAAGGAACTAGTTGTGAATCAATGCTAAATACTGACCAAATTAATACAGCAAAGAAGTTTGAAAGCCGGATGGTTCTTAGTAGGAGAAACTGTCCCTACGTAAAAATACAGAGTTTACCATTTGCATTAAAAAGAATAAGAATGTGAAAACAAGCCTGTATCTTTAAATGATTTCTCTGCTGCTCTGCAAGGACAGCCTGTGGCAGCTGTGACCACTTGCTCCCCATCCTCCTGTTTTGCAATCATGTGAAGTCAGTAGGGCTGCTGCACTGGGAGCCCTCCTGGCCACAGGTGAGGAGCCTCGCCATCTGCAATACTCAGTAGGCCAATCAAGCTGGCCCTGCATGAGGTAAGATGGATAGTCTCCCTGCGTGCCCCGAGCTCCCTCTGAAATTTCAGCAGATCAATGTCACTGTGGCTTTTAATTACCCCTCTGCTTCATCATTATTTCATGGACTTTAATATGCCCTGCAGGACACAGCATCAGAGAGCAGAAATAAACAACCACCAAGCCCCAGTGCCTCTTGAGGTGCTACAGTCACCCTCTAGAGGGAAATGTCACAACTCCTTTCCCTGGGTAAGCTGACCTGAGGGTTTCCAGGCTGATTTCAGCCTGAGCTGAGACACAAGGGCCGCCACTTCACTGTGCTGTCGGCTGAGAGCTCTTATGTTTCACAATAAAACTTGTTGCTGTTGCCATGTGCAGGCAAAGAGATCAGAGTGGCCATCAGGGCTTTTGCAGTTCACACTTGTATTCTGAAGAGGAAACCAATCTATCCTTGCAGATCCTGTGTAGTAATCCATAAGCATTTGAGCACAGTGCCAGCACAGGGCCCACCTGTAGAAGACACTGAAGGCATCCTGAGAGCTGGTCAAACTCCCTTACACAGCACTGGGTTCAAAAGTACGCATTGCTTTGCAAAAAGAAACACATCCTGATGGCTACCTGCAGCAGTCAGTTGTAAGGGTTGTTATGACATATGCCAGCAGTGGTATCTGAGGGGTGCAGGACAGGTTTAAAGAAAAAATACCTCTCATCCTTCCCAACAACTCTGGTCATGTAAAGAGCCAGGTAAGATTAGAGCAGTTTTAGGGTTTTTGTTTTAAGTTGCTAACCAACGTGGCTCATCAGGGAGACAGCACTTTTCATATGGGAAACAAAAACAAACTGAGGGAGAATATATGCTGAAAAATATTCAGTTTTGATTGGAACTTCAGAAATTAATTCAGAAAATTAATTGCCCAAACCCATATTTTGTGATCAATGAATGTTGTCGATATCACTTTTGATTAATATTGGGGGGAAAAGTAATAAACTGCAGCCACTGGAAGACATTGCTAAATGTCTGCTGCATTGCTGATTGCAATGGAGCATGCAGCAGCTTTCTGATGGACAACACTGGGATCTGTGCATCAGCAGTGCAAATTCGTCCCAAGTGGAAAGATCTGCCTTCTCAGACCATTGCCTCCCTAACCCCAACCTAGAAGCAACGCAGAGGGCAAGAGAGGCAGAGAGAGATAGGAAAGGCAACCCACAGGTGCATGCTCTGTAGAAATGAACAGACTCAGGAGAGAGCTGCCCGCAGCTCTCTGTATTAATCATTCGTGTTACTTCCTCCCTGGCAGTGGAGAGATGAGAGACTGTGACAGAGAAGATGCTTCAACATGTGAGCAACTGTAAGCATGTGAGGAGCAGTCTTGTTGGGAGAGCTCCCATGTGGGTTTCCCATGTACACATCACTGCGCCTGCTCTTCTGGTCCTTCCGCTGGGTTACTCATTTACTCATATGGCTGGTGACCACAGTATCACAGAGACAACAACAAAGCAGGAGGCCTGCAGTAGAATATGTCTCTCTCCAAGCTCACTGATGATCAGTAGATGTCTTTCCCTAATGACTTGCTGTCCATCCTGCTCCCTTCAAGTGATGGGTACAGCTGCCATCTCAATAGACCTGTGACTAATCATGGGAGCATGTTGGCTGGAGCTAATGGGAATGTGAACTACTAATAAATGTCTGCCTAACTATGCTAAGGCAGCATCTATGTTAAAAGGCTCAACTGATGTAACTGAAGGAAATGATGCTTCCTTACTGTAGTTCTGGTTCAGGTGTTGGATATCCCATGCAGAAGTTAATATACCCTTTTTCAGAGACAGATGTTATGAGAAAATAGCAGACAAAAATATGAATCTAAGCCTTGACACTGGGAAACTTGCTGTCCTTTCTATCCCTCAAAATTTACTGCATCAACAAACTCCCTCTGTTCTTCCCTCACTAAAGGCAGTATGGGGCCTTGGTCAGCTGACATTCCTTTGTGGACAGGCATGATAGAGACAGATATGAGAGTGGGATAAATGAATTCCACATTCCTGTTTGGGAAGAAGAAGATGAATATGTTTAGTTTTACTGAAAGGGCCCTTCATTATTTGTATATACCTGAAGTGGGTCTCAATTTTACTAATACTAATTCAGAGTGTAAATCAGGTGAAGATGGAACAACCTAAATGCACAGAGAAGGGAGTGGCTCTATGTTAATTAGGATGAGAGTATGAAAGTTAAAATTATTGTGTGAGGGCATCTTAAATTATTTTTTTTTGAGAGGAGGTATTAATTAATAAACTGTAGGCAGCACAGATCGTTGATTCATTAAAGCCTTGTGTATCTGCAGTTGGTTCCCAGAATGAAGATAGCACACGCAGTGGACTTGTTCCACTGCAACTGCATGTAAGGCTTTGATAACCACTGGCTGACTGGATGAGGTACAACCATGGTTAGGCAGATAACCCCAAGAACCAGATCAAACTGTAGGGCCCAGATCCCCATCTCAGATACTTATCATCTACATCCCTCTGTTTGGACCAGAAATTATGCATATTTAAATTCAAACCCCAAGCTGCTTTGATTGGATGTGAAGGTTCCTCATCCATGGGAAAAAAAATTCCATGTTTTTCCTGGGTAATTAAAATCAAGTGGTCAGTTTAATTGAGGACTGAGATATGAAGTTCCTTTTACTTGCATTCTTCTTGAATGCAAGTATTCTTACTTGAATTTTTGTTTAAATAAAAATAGAAGCCATGGTTTTTTGTTTAAAAGAAAAATGAACTCTGGAGTTCCCATAAGGACTGTCAGTAGCTTCATGTTTTCTGAATATTTGGCCCCTTATGATTGTCTCCTACAAATACGAACTGATTTTTAAATTGTCTTGGCAAGATGCCATTTGCCAGCTTTGATCTGGATCCTGATATGTAATTTAAACATACCCAAAGGTATAAAGCAGTTGCCCACTTCAGACAGGCTTTGCAAATGAAACTGCAGCTACTGACAACATTTTTAACCTTGAACTATATATGCTGTGAGAGGAGGAATCAGTAGGTAAAGGACCATCACCACTACACACATTTCTGGAGGAAAACATTGAAACGTGGTTTTGAAAGACTACCAAAAAAACCCAGACCTGTGCAAATAATCTGTATTTAACAGTCAATGTGACACTGCTACAGGCTTCAAGTTCCCTGAGGCTTGTATAAGTCAAAGTCACTAAGAGTACTTTTGTCTAAAAACAAAAAAAAAAAAAAAAAAAAGGCAAAGATGGCAAAGATTAAGAAAAGGTATATATTTACCTTTCTCACTCTTTCCCTCTTTTTTTTTTTTTCATTGATTCTCTGTAAATGATCTGTATTCCACTAAATACGCATTGCAGAATTCACTAGGTGTAGCAGGTTAATGCACTGCTCCTCTGTACCACCAGGCAGCGCCCTGTCTTTAAGGCAGGCACGTGGAGGAGCATCAGTCACATGCACGATCCAGCAGACATTAGGGCTGCCAGAGAAGGCATCAGCTACATTTGCACCAGTGTTTTGAGAGCAGTGTGGTTTTCACTGCAGAGTGGGCTCAGGGAGCATAGCTTGAGTTTCAGACGAAATTAATACAGAAGTTGTGCTCTGGAAGCACACCTAATGTACTCGCTAATGGGCATCCAGTCCATGGCACTAGAATAGAATTAAGTTTGAGGTGAGGTAACCCCTTGAAAGACATACAGACTGGATGTGGGGTCCTCAACACTAATCATTTCATTCTATGTATTTACTCCTACGGATCAACTACTTGCAAATTCAGTCTAAGCCAGACAGTCATTGAGGAAACCATAATAAAAAAAAGCATCTGAAGGAACAATATTTCCATGGGCACATTAATATTTATAATTTGCACTGAAGCACTGCATAACAGCCCTAAATCCCTCATTGTGTGAGTTGTTATACTAACACAGAATAAGAAGATGGTCCCTTCTTTTGAAGAATTAAAACCTGGAAGTAGTTAGGAATGGAGCTTTGCCTCCCAGTCCAGCCTGATTCATTCCTATGTGCTGTCCTGGCATAAGAAAGCTGTAAATTCAGCCATGCGACTTAGCCCTGGGAAGGAGCTGGGACCAAGGATAGGAGAGTAAGATTTCAGAATGCTCACTTTTCCTCATGTCTTCTCTGGGTTGAAGTGGGTGGAGCTGTGATTTCTGACTCTGTAGTACTTTCTTAACTGCTGTCTCCTCAAAGCTGGGAGAGGTTTATGGCTCCTGCACTGAGGTTAGTCCTTCTGTTGTGGGGTGTCCTCAGACTTAAAAGCTTCATTACCGTTTTTCAGAATAAAAAAAGAAAAACACAAAAAACACCAAAACCCAATCCATAAAGCACCATATATTGTTCCCCTTCATAGATATATTTGACTTGATCCTTCATTTGCCTACACCTAATGTTTATTTTGTGAGATAACCCCTTCTGCTTTAGATGTCTACTCTGACATGCTCTGTCTTGGTGTAACAACCACCTCCACTGGTTATATTGAATTTTTAAATTGTTTTCATTTGTACCATTGAGACTGTAAAGTTAATGTCTGCAGCAGAAATGGGAAGGGTACACAACAGCTAATGTTGCCAGTTTCCTTCAAAAGACAGTGTTTCAGTAATCACAATTCTACTGACTTGCTTCTATGTGAATTAACAGTGAATATTCACAGCCAGGCATATATTGTGAGCACAGAGATAAAACATGGGGAGTGAAGACCTGTACCCCATCTGACCTTGCAAGGGATCCAGTAACAGCAGAAAGGAAGAGTAAAAAAAAATATTTCTTTTCCCAATACTAGTTGCCTCAGCCTTGCCCTCCTAATAAGCATTTAAATAATGTAAATGTGAAGGGTGGTGCAGGAGGGAGAAAGGGGACACACACAAACCTTTCTGACTTTTCTTTTTCCCCTGAACACTGATGCCATTGCATAATTATATGGGTTGGCTTGAAAGAATGAAACCCGGTTCAAAATGTATGAGTTCATTTTTATGTTCTACTGAGAAAATTTATTCAGTGTGACTGCTCAGTAGCGAGAGCAGTAAAACACCTTAATCCCTGGTTGAAGAAAGGTAATACCTTGACAGATGTGTGCCTCCTACTTTCCTTGCGGCCATGTTTCAACAACAAACCTTTATTTCTGCTTCTCGGCTGTAGCAGGAAAAAAAAAAAAGAGAGGAGCAATAAAGCAGTCAGACAAATCTCAGGAGCCAGGCGGCAATGCAATAGTAACGACAGATTTTTAATGTGGCAGGAGAGATTGACAGGAAAATGTCTTCAGAGCAAACGCATGCCAGATGGAATGAAAACGGTTTATTGGAGTATGGAGGTGCTGCTGAACTGAATAGAGGACGGGTTTAAGGTGGGTGTTTTATTTGCTTCAAGTAAACAACAACAATCCCCCCCCCAAAATTCTCCTCACTAGGTATTGCCTTAGACCCGTCTTTGCACAGAGGGGATCTTTTTTGTTTGTTTGTTTATTTGTGTCTTTTTCCACAGTACTGCACCAGAGAAAAACTTTAAAGTCAAAAGTTCAGTCATTACATACACTGCAGAAAAGGAGAAGGCAGACTGGTTTGGACTGAGATTTTTTTATTGTTTGCCTCACTGCCCTCCTCTCTCCCCCTACCTTCTCAATCTGAAGGAATTTCTCACTCAGTGTGAATAGATAAAGATGTTTTGATGTGCTTTAGATAAATCAGAATGATTTTTTTCCAAAATGAGAACAGGTAAGAAACAAAAACAAACAAACAAAAAAATCCAGATGATAGAGTAGCTATCAAATGCAGGACAGATGAAGAAGCCTGCACTAAAAATCCTATAAAAGCCAATATAGCTGTTCCTATATCAGGAAGAGCAACATCATTGTGTCTTTTTCAACCAAATAAACTTAAACTTGCATGCTCCTAGTAATGATAACAAAGTCAAATTCAGTTCTACATCTCACAAGAAAACATAGCTCTGAAATATTTCATACTCTCCATACAGAGCACAGGCAGGAAAACAGCCATAAATGCAGAACAATCACACAAAAGAAAGGAAGAAAATACAACTCTAAACTGTGAATCTCCCTGACACCTTTTCATTATCAGCCTAGTCAATGGAGAATGCCACAAAGGAAAGGACAGCATCATATTATTGAAACATGCTGGTGTTGGGGTTTTTTGAAGGATGCACTTGTATAGTCTCCGTGGGTAGATTTTTTATTTCACTATATTTGCCATTAACTCTCTCTAATTGTATTTTACATGCAGGGCTTGGATTAAGTGTTCTGCATGTATTGTGTACATTTATAGTGCTCTTTTTAGAGTTTATTCATGGCATTTTTCCTTACACAAACACATCAGAAAGAAGTCACTGAGCTACCTCTTTTATTTGTATTATACTTTAAAACATAACAAAACCACCCTTTTTGTCTTTGACAACCTGCCTCTTTTTTTGCTAAGAAATATTTATTTAGACAGTAAAAAGATGTTATGTTCTTTCCACTAGCAGAAGTGTATGCATTGACTATGCTCCAATGTAATTTGCAGAAATTAAGGAAAATGCTCTGAGAAAGTAAGCAGGGAGTTTTGCCATGTTGTTTTAGCTAATAACTAATATACTACAATAACAAAGCTTTAGGCAAAATGCTTAATATTGACAGGAAAAGTAATTGGCAAATCCTTGTAATGATCCATTTACAGTTTCTATTTTATAGATTTACTGATTGTTTTAAAAACATAAGTTTTACAATTTTTGTCATATTTTGTACTATTCAGAATCCTGCTATAAAGTTCTGTTTAACTCTCCTTTTGTATTAGTCCTGGAAGAGCTATAAAGATTGCTTGTACAATTCTTATGTTCTTTGGGGTTTTGCTTCAATTTCCTTAGCATTTAGCCAAATATTGGCGCACAGGCAGTTCATCACAATGCAAAAGAAAATATTTTACATTAAAAAAAAAGCCTCTAACTGATTAAGTAATTTTTTCCATACAAGGAATGACACCATGCCAAAGATAATAAAGTAAAACATGGCAATGAAGGAGTTGTTAGTGATATTATGTATTGTTCTGAAATTACCCTATTTCCTTGCACTTAAATGTAACTCAGTCATCAGTGAACTTAACTTTTTCTGGTTATGTTGAAACTGTTTTGTAAGTCATTCCTGCAAAGTCACTTCACTAGGAACTGCTTTTTAGTAGACAAAAAAGTCAAAGCCATTTTACAGTTTATTTTATAATTTATCTTACTAGTTTTAAATACCCCCCAAAATTAGACTGAATATTAGAGTATTGCTGAAGATAAAATTTGACACAACAGGCTGTGATGGCTGCCATTCTATCCTTAAACCACCTTTTTGCAACACACATAATACAGAATATTAATCAGGGTTCTAAGGCTGTGGCAGTACCAAGGGACACAATGACAAGTTACAGAGAGAACACCCTGCTTAACTGTGAATGGCATACACTCCCCCAGAATCCTCATATCATTTAAAAATAGATTTTACTGTGTCATCAGCTTCATTCTGATATCACTAGTAAATTGCACTAGGTACAAAGGCTGCAAAAGAAATTGTACAAGCAATAGACACCGAAGTTGCTATCAGTAGTGTGTAGTAGCTAGAGTTTTCATTTCAGAAGACACTGAATATTGACTTTCAACCTCAAATTGTATTCATTAGTAGCTTGCTTTTTTTCTCTCTCTTGTTTTTATTCCTAAAATCATACCAAGTATACCAGCACGCTCTCATGCACCCCCGCGCTGTGGAATTTTGATAATGTATGTCCTAACCGCTTAATTGATTGATTAGCTTACTGCAGCTTTTTGAGGCACCAAATTTATCTTTAATAGCCGGAGTCAGGCACGGCAGGCAATCGAGGGGGGGGTCCCTTGGCGTCGATTTGCTCTTAACTGGAAAGTCATTACCACTTAATACATGTAGATTGTGTTGAAAGAAAATTATGTGTAATGAAATGAGGGAAAAATTAGTGGAGTGTTATGGGCGAAAGCAGATGTTACGGAGGAATTATGCTAGCAGAGATAATCACCTTCACTAGCATTGTGTGTGCTGGGGTGTTAACTCAGAGAGAGAGTTGGTGAGAGCTAAATAAATGCCTTGATTGAAACAGATTCACTTTTCAGAATACAGTATATGACTAGTACACACATCTAGAAACACATACACACATATACACACACACAGAGACATGCTCAGGGCTGAACTTTTATACTTCTGTTGCTCATACAGCCTTTCTAGCTATTTTCCAGCTACTCACAATATATTCGGAAGTCCTAGCTGGAAGCACAGGGAAGTAACTGTCAATTTGCATAGTATCATGGAGATGAGAATAATATCCAAGGGCAGAAGTACTCATATAAGTATTAAGGCAAGACCTTGTATGCTTCAAAGTCTGGACAACCTCTCCTGAGAGAAAACTGATGAATACAAGAGAGGTCTTTGAGGATAGCACCTGACATTTTAGAAGCTATAAAAAAAAGACATAAATAACAGAGATAGTTGGAAAAAAAAAAACCAAAAAAACAACAAAACAGAGACATAGAAAGTTGTGCCTTTACTTAAATAGTCTGTAAATATAAGAGATAGAAGAAAAAAAATAAATCTTTCTTTTTAAAGCAACTTATGAATATGTTTAAAGTAGTTGTTTTGCACACAGGCGGTAATGAAAACACTCAAAATCAGGCCAAAGGAGTGAAGAGAGGTGCCACAGATTATATTTTGAACACATTTTAGAACTCTGTAAATAAATCTTTCACCTGTAAGCATCTCCTTTTCCTTTTCCAGCCATTACTGATATATATGCGTGATTATATTTTTTATATCAAGCATGCGAGGTCACTATTAATTTTTATCTTGGGTTTATCTACTTCATATAATATGTGTTTGGATTTAGAATTATCTCTGCTTTATCACCCGTTTTATAACAAAAATTGTGGTCTCAGGAAGATAGTAGTTTGCAGATTTTACTATCGAAACCATTGATAATTAGGGTTTCCTCATATATCGTTCTCTCCCTTCGCTACTAAATGAGGCTTTTATGACTATAGTTATTGCTGGTGATAACAATACAAATTTTAAAAATTAAAAAAAAAAAAAAAGACTCAAGGTCTTGTATCCCCAGTGTTACTGTTCAGAGATAGGATGTTAGCAAGAGGACTGTCAATTTCCTTGTCACTATATTAATGACTTAAAGAAATGCAGCCAGCCCTTCATGAATCAATTGGAAAACTATGATGAATGTTTCAATAATTAAGAGAATCATTAAATTGCTGAATGTAGGATGGCATTAAATGAAATAGCTTTTGTAACAACAGCCACATATTCTTGTTTATAAATACAAAGAGCCACATTTAAATAATGCTGTGAGTCCAACTTAGATTTATGTTTTATCACTTTTAGCTGGTTGTGGGTCCAATCCTACAAAAGCCTGTCCTATACACAATATACCTTGTGCCTTAGCTCTGTGTACATCTGTAATAATCATATACACAAAACCAAGAACTCACAGAAATCTGTTGCTAAATCAGTTTCCTTGTGTACCTACGTGCCTCTCCACCTGCATATTGTAATATGGCCACCATTGCAGTGCTTCAGTGATAAGGAGCTAAACTTACTTAAACAGATAACGAAGCCAGTGAATTCACTGTTAAAGCTGACACTCTGAAGGTAACACACGATGCTTGTGGAAATATTTTTAAAAGGTGATATATGTTAAAGGTGAACTGTAAAGCTGAAGTGAAAATTATGTTAAGTTCAGAAATATGTCCTGAATCTCTCAACTATCAGGCAAGTTTTACTGTAGCTTTCAAAATTTTCTTTTCTCCTGTACAATAATCTGGCAGTTCCTCCTTTGATAAGGACATTCCCAAACATAACTTTGTATAATATCATGCATACTGGAGACTAGGATGCTAAAAAGGAGATATCCTAGAAAATTGTCCTTCAAACCAGGGTGCCATTGAGCAAATGCAATGCTTAAAAACATTATTTTGGGAAAGGAAATGTAGAGACCATTCCCAAACCCAAAGCTTGAAAATATTTATGGATGTTCTGAGGGAAAAAAAAATAAATAAAAAAAAAAAATGGAAACTAATTAGCTGGTATATTCTTGTATTTCTTTTTGAAAGCATGTCACAGCTCTTCTTTGGCTGCTGGAATGTCAGCATGTTTAAGAAGTCACTCACAAATAAGGCAGGGTCATCTCAGATGCAAAATTCAACCAAGTGCATATAGGGCCCTCTCTGATTGTGTATAGCAGCACTGATCCTCCCCCAACTGCTGTAATATGAGAGCTGAATTCTGTTTTCTGCCTACCAGCATCCCAAAGAGCTTTTCACTGTACTTTCTCACCTCTCTCACTGATTTATTTTTCCTTTTTCTGTCTTTTCCCCACTCACCTTTTCCACACACATACCTCCTTCTGTTCCTGAATGTGTTCCCACCATACATACACCCATTTTCCACCAGTCCCTAGCCTTCCCTGCAGGGGGAGGCATGTTTTATCTGCTTGTGGGAGAAAGAAGTGGAAAGAAATTTTCTATCCAGCTCAGAGTTAGCCCCTCTTTGTTGCTCAATCATCATGTCAGCTACAATTTCACCATCTTCTTAATCTCTCATCTTGTGGAATTTATTCTTCCTGTCCCCTCTGCTAGCATATCCCTGTGCACTCAGAAAATCATCACTGATCCTTTCACATTTCACATTTGCCTTTGGTCCTTTCCCATCTATCTCTCTTCCACTGCGCACAGGCACCCCAGACATTCACCTGAACTCCATCCTATGAACATGTTTCTTTTCCATTTTCCTCTTCCACCTTGAATGGCTCTTTCTTACTCATCACATAAATATATGTTCTGGGGTAACTGAAAACCCAGCATTATGTACTTGGCGCACTAATAATTTGAGGTGGAAAGGAGAATAAATATAGCCGTAATATGCTTTAAAATAGGTGAATTAGTTGGGCAGGAGACTTTTAATGCTACATGGGTGGTCAGTAGAAAAGTAGCAATTACCATGAGATGGAATATGATATACCACAGTTATTTCCTATTTTAGGCATAGGGCAATACCATGGTAACCTGGACTCCACTGTGTGCAAGTGTTGTTAATTGTATAGCTTTTTAATGGAGATAATTATATTTCTCCTGTCTGAAATCAACATTTACTGGCAGTGACCAATGCCCAGAAGGATATTCTCAGAAGGATGTTGCATGATCTACAGTATGTATATTTAATATTTCTTCCTTATAGGGAGACAATTTAATTCCACCCATGGAACAGGTGAAAACTGTTCACCTTCCTGATAAATCCTGGTGAGAAATTAAAATAGTAAAAGTTCAGGATGATAGAAATTCACTCTCACCCATATGTTAGGAATGCCACATATTGATAGGCCAAGCTCAGGGAAAGGAAACGATCCAGCTTATATTTGATAATGAATTAGATAATTTTCAAAGGCTGTTAATACAGCATCTTTCTTTAACATAAAATTTAGCTTTCCTCCAACACTGGAAACAGTCACATCTAAAGTGAAGGGGACTCAAGATTTTGTTTTGCAAAATCTGCTTCCAGTGGGTAGTGCTTTTCCAGAATTTAACATTCAGTCCAGAAGTTTTCTATGGTATGTCTCTGTTCTAGGTGAATATTCACTTCTGAAAATAAGATTAGGGGAAAATGTGTCGTTTACTGATGGTTAAAAGTAACTATACCTTTCAGTTGTTTCATTAACTGCTCTGCAGTTTAACACTGGGTCTTGAAAACTGGTCAACATTAAGGCTTCTGGGAAAAAAAGAAAAAAAAGAAAAGGAAAAGAAGAAAAAGTTTATTTATGCTCACTAGAGGCTTCTTATAGTTGTCAGTTTCAATGTGTCAATCAGGTTGTATGTATACACCAGGTC